TAAGATCATTTTAAAGGCTCCTTCAAAAAGCCTAAAAGAAAAAAAAACTCATTCACCCTCTATACTGCATTAATGGGTATCAACTAAGATGCAAATTGATTGTAATGCTTTTTTTCCTTTGGCAGTAATGGTTCATTTCTTTTCTTCCTTTATTACTTTTCCTAAAGAAAATATAGTGATAAATTATGTAGTGGGCTAATGTTCCAAATTTTAGAAGACATGCTAATATCATATTGAGAAGTTCATTTAATTTTTCCCCATAATATATTCTAGAAGTTTTAGATGCATATATACAGTTTGCTTGGAATTTGTTTTTATCTTCTAATAGGACAACTTGTCTTAAACCCTTCTTTTCTTCTACTCCTTGTCATTCCCCCTACCATGGCCAAAATTCTCTTATTTTTTTTTTTTTTAAGATTTTATTTATTTGAAAGAGAGAGATGAAGGGAGTGAGCATGAGCAGGATGGGAGGCAAAGGGAGCAGCAGATTCTTCACCAAGCAAAGAGCCTGATGCAGGGCTCCCTGGGCTCTGGAATCATGATGTGAGCTGAAGTCAGACACTTAACCAACTGAGCCACCCCCCAGATACCCCCCCCAAATTTTCTAGTACATGTCAAAACAATGAGAATTAGATACATAAATAGCAAGTACAACACTCTGCATTTATATATGCATACACTATATAATGGTCAAAGCTTTCAAATAGGAGATTTCTTTTCGATTCTTAAAACAATCCTGTGAGGATTGGACCCTAGGACTTAGAGGCAAATGAATTACCCAGAGTCTTAGAGCTGGAGAGGAAAAGAGCAAGAACCAGAGCTCTGATTATCTGACTTCTACTCTAGTGTACTCTCCTCTTACCTCAGGAAGCTGCTTCAGTACTAGTGAAGCATTTAAGAGCCTGGACAGATTCTTGTCAGCCAGACGTGGGATTGAATTCAGTTCTGTGTGACTATTGGCAAGCTTGCTCATCTAGAAGAGGAGAATAATACTACTTTCTACTTCAAAGTGTGTTTATAAGGAGTAAATCAGAGGAATTAGCAGAATGCCTAGCGCATACATGGTAAGCATTCAGTACATGTTACATTATTTGTATTATTATATGGCTTATACCTCTTTCAATTCTTCACCTTAATGACACACTTTGCTTTTGCTTCACCCTCTGGTCCAATGAAAACTCTTTCTATGTGAAGAAAAAGTCACAACACATTGTGCTTTATCTTGAAGGAGCCCTCAGAACTATTATGTAATCCTTTTCATTTCTTGCTGACCTCTTATTGCATGCCTTGTTGTAGCTATTCTAAACCTCTTTCTCTGCTCTGAAGATCCTAGTACCTCTTCTGTAACTATTACTTTCAATGTGGTCATATACCCTAATTTATTTTTATAATATTGAGATAATATGCCCTGAAGCCCAGTGTCTCTGTACTTAATCTGACTTTTCCTCACCTGCTGTATCAGAAAATGATCTTTCTTATGTTCCAGGCTCTTAGTAATGCCTCTTTTAACTCTTTTGGGATACTGCTTCAACAATTTTTATCTCCCCCATTTGCTTGCCTTGGTTTCCCCCATTTCTCTGGGCTCAGCTACCCGCAGTTCTTCTGACCATGCCAGATGTTCTCTCCTGCCTCTGTATATTTTCTTACAAACTGCTGTGCCTATGGAATTTCCTTTCATCATCTTCCTCCTTCAAGACTCAGCTCTAGCATCATTTCCAATGTGGTTGGCTGCCCTTTTTATGCATTCTCATAACTGTCTCTCAGTCCTCCATCAGGTGACTCTGAGCTTCCTAGAGAAAGGCACCATACCTCTGTATTCCCAGAACCTACCACCATGCCTGGTCCTTAGTAGATACCCAACAAATGTTAGTGGGAGAAAGATCCACAAATAAGCACATTTCTTTCCTACAATTTAAGAATAAACTTTTGAGAGATGCCTGGGTGGCTCAGTCAGTTAAGTGTCTGCCTTCGGCTCAGGTTGTGATTCCAGAGTTCTGCCATCAAGTCCCACGTTGAGCAATTTACTCAGTGGAGAGCCTGCTTCTTCCTCTTTCTGCCACCACCCCCTGCTTGTGTGCTCGCTCACTAGCTCGCTCTCTCTCGGACAGATGAATAAAATATTTAAAAAGAATAAATCCGTCTTGACCCTGATTTGCTTGCCCTTCCTTTGACAAACATTCTACTTCCTCACCATACATTTCCTTGTAATTTAGCATCCAGTACAACTAATGAATCTACTGAGCTTAATCTCTTGAAAGTCGGGTCCTCCTCAAGCCCCTCACCTGGTTTCTGTGACACAGTACAACATCGGCTGTTTTGACACCTCACTGAACTTACCTCTCTTGATGCCTTCATTTGTTTCTCCAACATGAGTAATCCCAAGATTTCCTTCATTCAACTTTTTTCTTCCTTCGCTTTGTCCCTGCATGAACTTACTCTTGATTTTAACCATTATCTCTGTGTAGATAACATGCAAAGTTTATTCCTAATCCAATTCAAGTCCCAGTTACTCTACCAAGCACTCATACTTCCACCTACCACTGTTTCACCCCAGATGGATATTGTCTTACCTAAGACTGATCACTTCACCTTCCTAGTAAGGGCAGACTTCTCAGAATCCTTCTTGTCATTTGCCTCTATTGGTTGGCACAGATGCTCTGTCTTCTTGGAATCCTTATTCCTCACTTATTTCAGGCATCTACTTCCTGATGAACAATATAAAATCTACTAGTCATCCCTGGAGTAGAACGTTTTCACTCATTTCCCGATAACACATGAAACTCAACATATTTAAAACCAACTTAGCGTATTTGTCCATCTTTAGCCTAACTTCCTCCTATTGACTACCCTAGTTTTTAAATCATTCCCCCTTTTCTCAGATAACTGTTAGTCATCTTTGCATTCTCTTTTGTACTCCACCAACTGAGGTGTCAAATCTTATTTATTCAAATATTCTCTCATTAATCGCTTCCTTTCTATTCTTGGGGATACCATCTTGGTTCTGGCCCTTATAGATAATAAGATTATAGACTATAATAATACCCTATCACCTGGTCTTCCTGTTGCTATGTTCTAAACCCTGCTCTCAGCCACATTGCTTCCAAATCAGTCTTTCTGAAGTAAAACTTCAATTATGATTCTCCAGCTCAAAATCCTTGACTTTTCTATTACCTCTTAAATAATGTCTACAATTCCTGTCAGTTTGGTAGGGTAAAATTATCTTTGATTTTGGAGTCAAAAAAGATTTGGATTCAAGTTCTGGCTACTACACTTAACCTTTTCTATAACTTTGAGCTTATTGCCAGATTTTTATTCACTTAGATATTTGACAGAGAGAGACAGCAAGGGAGAAAACAAAAGCAGCAAAGTGGGAGAGGGAGAAGCAGGCTTCTTGCAGAGCAGGGAGCTCAATGCAGGGCTCAATCCCAGGATCCTGGGATCATGACCTGAGCTGGAGGCAGACGCTTAATAACTGAGCCACCCAGGCTCCCTTTTATTATCTTATTTATTCAACATATATTTATTTGACACCTACAGTGTTCTAGTCTCTATATCAGATACTTGGGAAAGAGTGATGAACCAAACATTGTCCTTCCTTTCCTGGGAAAGAGTGATGAACCAAACAAACATTGTCCTTCCTTTCCTGAACCTCACAACATAGTGGACTTGTTCCCATTATCATAGAAATTCTAAGTACAAGTCATGTCTCCCTCTCTTGATGCTTTTAGCTCTTGATTTGTGCTATGCAGGGTATTATAATGCTGTGTACTATAATTATTTGCATATGTGCGTTGCCTCTCCACCACAGCGTAGGTTCACTGAAAGTGCCACACCCCATTTCCATAATGCAAATACAGAGCCGTGCACATACTAGTTGTTAGTGAATTCTGCTGTGATTTTGTAGACCTAGGGTTAGTCTTTGGCATGGTTATAATGCCTAGTAAGTTTTTTAAAGCTCCTTTTGTCTTGTCAGAATTATGCACTAAAAAGGGAGGGAAAAAAGTAATAGCTATTTGGTTTCTATTCCTTGAGGCCTCTCCTTTTTAACCTACCACCCTGCCTACAACTTTTATAAGTAGAACTAACAGTGTTTGTAACTCATGTACCTTAAGTTTTTCAAAACTGAAAAACAAATGCATTCATGATAACTAGTTAGAAATATTGTCCATGTGCATACAATGGAATGTTAAAATAATGTGGTTTTTTTTTTTTTTTTTTACTAAATAGCTTTTGACTTGGTAATGAGCAATATGTTGTTTTTCCCTGAGAAATAATTCTAGGACTTTAGTCTTGAGCGTTATATTTTATATTATACATTTTTAGCTTATTGTTTTTATATTTCCAGTGATCTTACACTAAGTTAAGCATTTGTCTATCCAAAACAATAGGTCAACTATAGCCAAATTATAACCATACCTTTCCTCTGCACACAAAATCCTATAAACAGCATGTGATCATATTGCTTCTAGAATTTATGATTGTTTTCTTCCAAAAGGAAGCTAAATTTAGCCTAGTAATTCTACATGCTCCCAAGGAAACAATGCCTGCTGTGATTTCTAGAATAAATGAATCTGAACCACAGTTCCTTTACTTGACTAACTAAAAAAGTTTAAATATCAACCTAGTCATTACCACAGATATTAAACCACATTAAACAACAGCAAGGGGTTAAGAAAGAAATTTACTGTTTCTGACTTCATTGCTAAATGAGTCTAACTTAGTTTCTGTATTGTCTTTAATACAGAACATTGTTTGCATCTCATAATGGTTCTCTAAAATTACTTGTTCATGGCTTGAGTCTAAAATTAAACTATGTAGAGTCATGTCCATCTGCACAATGCATCTTTATGTGAAATCGTTAGAGTTTTTTGTTTTCACTTGATGTAAAAATTCCAGTTAGGAAGATTTGTTTCTAATAGTTTAACTGGTATGGTTCTTTCAGTTTCTTCTTTGTTTCTAATGACAACTAAACTGCTCTCGCCTTGAACATGTTTTGGCAGATAAGCTTCTCACCATGAGGGCCCCTGCTGTGCTTGCACCTGGCATCCTTGTACTTCTGTTTACCTTGGTGCAGAAGAGCTGTGGGGAGTGCAAAGAGGCACTAGTAAAGTCTGAGATGAATGTGAACATGAAGTACCAGCTTCCCAACTTTACTGCAGAAACACCCATCCAGAATGTTGTTTTACACAAGCATCATATTTACCTCGGTGCAGTTAACTATATTTACGTTTTAAATGACAAAGACCTTCAGAAGGTTGCTGAGTACAAGACTGGGCCCGTACTGGAACACCCAGATTGTTCCCCATGTCAGGACTGCAGACACAAAGCCAATTTATCAGGCGCTGTTTGGAAAGATAACATCAACATGGCTCTACTTATTGACATATACTATGATGACCAGCTCATTAGTTGTGGCAGTGTCCAGAGAGGGACCTGCCAGCGACATGTCCTTCCACGCAGCAATACTGCTGATATACAGTCGGAAGTCCATTGCATGTACTCCCCACAGGCAGATGAAGAGCCTGGGCAGTGCCCTGACTGTGTGGTGAGTGCCTTGGGAACCAAAGTCCTGATATCTGAAAAGACTCGGTTCATCAACTTCTTCGTGGGCAATACCATAAATTCCTCGTACCATCCAGATAATTCATTGCATTCAATATCAGTGAGAAGACTAAAGGAAACGCAAGATGGTTTCAAGTTTTTGACAGACCAATCTTATATTGATGTCCTACCTGAGTTCAGAGATTCCTACCCTATTAAATATGTCCATGCCTTTGAAAGCAATCATTTTATTTACTTTTTGACTGTCCAACGAGAAACTCTAGATGCTCAAACTTTTCACACAAGAATAATCAGGTTCTGTTCTGTAGACTCTGGATTGCATTCGTACATGGAAATGCCTCTGGAGTGTATTCTCACAGAAAAAAGAAGAAAGAGATCCACAAGGGAGGAAGTCTTTAATATTCTCCAAGCTGCATATGTCAGTAAGCCTGGGGCCCACCTCGCTAGGCAAATAGGTGCCAACCTGAATGATGACATTCTCTATGGAGTGTTTGCACGAAGCCAGCCAGATTCAGCTGAACCAATGAATCGCTCTGCTGTCTGTGCATTCCCTATCAAATATGTCAATGAATTCTTCAACAAGATCGTCAACAAAAACAACGTGAGATGTCTTCAACATTTTTATGGACCCAACCACGAACACTGCTTTAATAGGGTAAGTCACATTTATTTCCCATTTATAAACTATAAAGTATAAGTCAGAATAAGTAGCAGGCTAGAAAAGAGTATCAAGGGCTTTTTGGTGCTTGGTAAATGATCTTTATCCAAAATATTTGTACATTCTTTCCAAGAAAATTTAGATTTTGAATCTTGATTTAAATATAAAATCATAGCTTGAGAAAAGATTAATGTGGTCCTAAAAGAAGAAATATTGGGGCACCTGGGTGGCTCAGTGGGTTAAAGCCTCTGCCTTCAGCTCAGGTCATGATCCCAGGGTCCTGGGATCCAGCCCCACATTGGGCTCTCTGCTCAGCAGGGAGCCTGCTTCCTCCTCTCTCTCTGCCTGCCTTTCTGCCTACTGGTGACCTCTGTCTGTCAAATAAATAAAATCTTTAAAAAAAATAAAAGAGGAAATATTTTACAGTTTGGCTTTACATGTTTGTCAACACTTTATTTCTTATATAAGCTTTAATAGTTCTGGTCAGATTTACACAAAGCTTAACACAATAGCAGTTCCTGTAAAACACAATTATTGAGATCCCCATGCAGTCTTTACAGCATTTAAAATGAGAAGCTCAAGTTAATTTGTGGGTTTTGAAGGCTTTTTATGAAGCCCCATTCACTCACTGAAATACAAGTGAATGGTTTATATTCTGGGCATTATATAAAGAAAATTAAACTAAAAACAAACAAAAAATTTCTTCTAAAATGTTGGTAAATAAAATATTTTTAAATGAACTAATACACGCTCTGAATAACTTAGAAAACTAGAGAGGAAGTTTTTATTCCCAAATCCTTCCTTGTATTTTCTACATGATGGAGCTTCTACATGAATAGACATGTGTCTACTACCTTCTAGTTAGGTACTTTTAACCTGGTTGGTATTTTATATTTATAAATACAAGTATTTTGATCAATACTTGTTTATACCTTATGAAGGGTATTTTCACATGAAATGTTAGGGACATTCTTTGTTGCTTTGATTTAGATACAGTAAAAGCTACCAGCTATACCCAGAGGATTGAATTATCCTACTAGCCATCAGATCACTTGGCGCTAGAGGAAGAGCACCAAATCAGGTGTTCTCTGCAGCCTTGGGCTCCCTTGGTTTGGACCCATATTCAAACATGTGAACCTGGCTGCACCACCTAACATAACAACCACTAGTGATCCTAACTACATAAATAATACAGCTTTTCTAAGATGGTTTGACTTTGGAAATCCACATCTCACTACTTTAGCAGTCTTTAGTCTCTGTAATAACAGTTATAATTGTAAGCAAAAGGACATTAAACATATCTTTGATGAAAAAGAAGTATATAATATGCTAAAGGGTACCAACAACATATGAATTCAGAAACATTTGGTTCACTCCTGCTAAAATATCTGTGATACTACCCCAAATGGAAACTCCAAATAACATTTGCTTAAGATTTTATTTGTTTGTTTGCTTATTTATTTTAATTTGAGAAAGAGCGCTCATGTGAGCAGGGGGAGGGGCACAGGGAGAGAGAGAGAATCTCAAGCAGACTTCTCTCTGAGTGCAGAGCCAGTCACAAGTCTCAGTCTCAGCATTCTGAGATAATGACCTGGGCTTAAATCAAGAGTTGGATGCTTATCCAACTGAGCCACCCAGGCATCTCCCAAATTACTTTTTATAAAGCTAAAAAAATACTTCTGAGAAAATGAATTCATGCTTTAGTGAACTAAAGACATAACTTCCCTCCTTTCCCCTCTGAAGTCTAGGAATAAAAAATAATATACATGCAGAAATCCCAATTAAGACTTACTTCTTCCTGCATTCATGTCATATATGTTGCAAACTCTGTAAGAAGCAACAGGATTTCTCATGTGCCTGCCCCTTTTCTTCACTAGAAAATACCAAAGAATGAGAAGAAATAAAAAGACTTTCAGAAACCTGGAATTATGGAAAAAATGAATCTTAATAGCATTCCAGAGAAAACACTTTTTTGTATCCAATAAATTGCATCAGAAACACGAGTTTAAAAAAGATTCTATTAGGAGTTCCTCCAGGGCCTCTAAGGAAGCTCATGACTTTGCTATTTAAATCTTGTTCTGTTAAAAATTAAAAAGAGACTTGGGGCACCTGGGTGGCTCAGTGGGTTAAAGCCTCTGCCTTCGGCTCAGGTCATGATCCCAGGGTCCTGGGATGGAGCTCCGTGTCGGGTTCTCTGCTCAGCGGGGAGCCTACTTCCTCCTCTCTTTCTGCCTGTCTCTCTGCCTACTTGTGATCTCTCTCTCTCTCTCTCTCTCTGTCAAATAAATAAATAAAATCTTCAAAAAAAAATTTTTAAAAAGAGACTTTACCATATGAGGGTATATTGGTATCCTATTTAATTATTTTGTACATTTCAACCCTCTGATGTAAAAGTATTTATCAATTCTAGAAATTGTCAAAATACATTTGAGCTTTTCTACCCCTTTCACTCTTTTAGTGTTCCAAGAGAAACAAAAAGGCAGGATTATCTGATGAAATTCAGGTCAGTTTTATCACCCAGGAAAAATGCCCAAAATGCACCAACTGCACCTGAAACCATTATCATTTCTATCGCAAAAATTCCTGTGGAAAACAAGATGGAGCTTGCCAACATAGCCTTCTTATAAGGGAAGCCAAGTTTTGCACTGGCCAAATTCCATAAAAACAAATACCTTCAAACCTCTTCTACTTATTTGCCTGTTTATCTTCTCTGGTTACTAATGATCGAAATTCTTCTGAGAATGAGACTACCCACATTCTCAGTTTTCATATACGAGTTCACAAGAAGACCTAGATTGTTCCAATAATCAGCATACAATCATTTCCTAGCTTCATCTTGAAATGAAAGCACCAAGAGAGCCATTACTCACACAAAACAGAATGATTTACAAAATCAAACCTTTTTGGAAAGACTATACAATAAGACAACTCCATTTTGTCTTGGCAGCTTTATTTGGGAAGATATCCGGTGACACTTTTGACAATTTCTTGGAACAGAGCTTTTGTTTTGGCATAAAGTTTGGTGAATAAACACATATATTGTAGTTTTGTTATTAACATCTCTAATCCAGCAGATCTTTATGGAGAGGCTATTGTGTGCTCTGTAGAGAAGGAAAGCTGCAGCAGTAATTTTCCGCTGAGGCTTCTGCCTGGTCCTTAGTGTGTAAGCAAAGCCATGGCAGGGGTTTTCTGGCCCTGTCCGAGCTTCTACCATGTACGGAGGGTTTCTGTCACAGGATCAGATAGAGAGAGTGCCAAAAAAAAAGGGGGGGGGTCTTTTTAAATTCTAGGGGTCAAGCCAGTATTTAGGCCCGATTTACTTACTTCACATCACATATTTGGTTGGGTTTCCCACTCTCACATTTTATGAAACCCATCTATGTAGACTCTTCATATACAGTTTCTCATATTGATGACATCTCTAAAACCCTCTTTTGAGCCATTTGATAGTTTCCAGACCATATCATCTTCATATTTAAGTTATGTGTGCTTCAGAACTCTTTGATTTTGCATATGATGTTGTTTCTGGAAACTTATCCTAAGCCTCAGGTACCCATTCATGTTGATTGTATCAGTTCAATAAAAATAAATTCATGGTCTTCACAATATAACCATTTTCTATGTTGCTTTTGAAAATAATTCTTAAGGGACATGTTTACAGTGATTTCTAACACTTAGAATTATAAGATTACATACTCACAAATAATCACTAAATCTTTAGTCTTAAATATCTTTACCACCTTTTTTTAGTCATTCATCATTTGACTTCTGTAAACATCCTAAACTGGTATTTGGTTGAAGTTGTTTTAGTCTAATGTGTATTCCCTAAACAGTACATTCAAAACAGCTATTCAAAATAAAATAGTTGAGAAACTATCCCATAATAAGGAGACTTTTTTAAATCCCCAAACTTGGGGGAAAAAAAAATCCCTCACTTTCTCTTTGGGGATAGACAGTTTTAAATTCATTTCATTTTAGGGACGCCTAGGTGGCTCAGTTGGTTAAGCAGCTGCCTTCGGCTCGGGTCATGAGCCCAGCGTCCTGGGATCGAGTCCCACATCGGGCCACTTGCTCAGCAGGGAGCCTGCTTCTCCCTCTACCTCTGTCTGCCACTCTGTCTGCCTGTGCTCACTCTCTCTGACAAATAAATAAATAAAATATTAAAAATAAATAAATAAAATAAAATTCATTTCATTTTAAGCACATTGATGGGACTCTCCCAACAGTTTCATACATATAAGGGATTTACTAACATGACAGTTATTCTAGGGAAAAAACAGAATCAGTACACCTTTGCCCAGTTTCCCACAAATGAGATCAGTATTGACTAAAAAAAAAAAAATTGTAATCCCTAGGTCAGTAAAGGTCCTATTCCCTAAATTATACTTAATAAGAGAAGTGGATTAATACATTTTGGAAAGATTTTCAATCAGAGTTGAAATTTGGAAAAGGTTTATTGAAATATCTCTCATCTAACCAGAAAATATAATTAATCACATTACACTTTTTCTTGCATTTCCAATATCAAAGTTTTGCTCTATATGTAAGCATTGGAAAGAATTTTAAAAAATAAGAAAAAAAGTAGACTTGTAGTAAAAAATATTTTCACCAACATCTTAATGACCAATGATTGATCAGTTGAAGGGGAGAAACATGCAGTTTGGCGCCAGGTGCACCTAGATGCAAGTTCCAGCTTATTGCATACCATCTGTGTGACTTCTGCTGCGTGACTTGACTGCTTAGAGTCTCAATCCTCATTCATAACATGCACAGAACAAAACCTACTTCTTAGGGTTTTGTAAAACTTGGGGGTAATATATATAAAGTACCTAGCACAATAAGGTGACCATAAATTTAGCTCTTTGGGAGACTACACAGCCTAAAGGAGCAAGACTGAAGTCAAAGAGATCTGGATTCAGATGTATACTCCACCATTTTATACCCTTCTGGTCACAAGAGCATTGTTTAAACTATCTGAACACATTTTCCCTCCATGC